ATACTCGTAAAACTTATTAGTTTTTTTTAGCTATGCGTTGGTTTTCAAAATTTGAATTAGAGTTACTTGTCGGCAAATTTCGTTCATGAAAGTGCAAAAACGGATCAGTAAAAGTGCACTTTCCAAAAGTGAAAAAATTATTATTCTCAATTCTCAATGTGTGCCATTGTAAAAATGGTTGAAATGAGTTCCATTATGATTGAAGTTAGACAGACAGATATTCACTTCAATTTTTTGTCACAATACGCAAATAAGTCACTCAAAATCACAGCGTCTCTATGTAGTACTACTTGTTTAATAATAGAAAACTAACGTCTAGTTCGTCACAAAGGATATCGCTAGAGAGCTGCATACAAATCCATCCGCCTTCAGATAGTACTCATAACCCACTCACTAGCAATGGGTCCAAAATGAGTCCGACTCTAATTCTGATTGATTTTTAATCCATGGTGTCATGAATTCGGCACAGGTGATGGTAGTAGGCAATAGACCCTCCTATCGACCAAATTCATTGACATTGTATCTATCCTTCGGGATGATTTTAACGGCTTCATATGGTAAGAATGAGTATTTTCTATAACTCTTCAGTTCTGATCCAAACTGATTTCGGTTAATGGCGACCAAATCCGGTTTCATTTATGCTCCTTTCTTTTTCGTCGTAGATTGTTTAGCTTACCTATTTTCCTCTCTAAATTATTGTATCCCTTCCTTTTCAATCGGAGAACGAGTTTCTAGATCTTTTTGATTTCCCATTTTCACTCCTAATAAAATTTGGAATGGTTTAGTATTAATACCCCTCTGATAAGTCGAATTTAGTGCTAAATTTGCAGCTTCAGTGCTACTTTCTTTTCTTTCAATTTTTTTCTGCATTAATTATCTCCGTAGTGACTTAGGTGCAACAATGACTTGTCCTTGTAAAGCATATAATTTTTTAAAAAGTAATCTTCATAATGGTTGTCCTCATTTAATATTTCCGTTAGGGCTTTTAAATGGTTATCAGTATCTTGTGCTATTTTGAGTCGTTGAACTAAACCATTTTCGCTAATCGCCATAATCTCACCAGCATCTACGCGGCACTTTCGCTGTTCTCTTGTGTAGCTGTACTCCATCAATAATAACGCTATCTAAATTGCCTATATCAGCTTAAAAAAATCACTTTCTGAGTCAAAATAGTTTTGGTTAATTTTCAATCAACTCCTGTCGTTCGGTCTTTCTTATCCATAGTTTTAGTAGTTCAGTTCAGTTAGAACAACATAATTAGTGAGTAAATATTTTATATTTGGAAAACTCCAATATGTTCTTCTTGAAATTTCTTTATTTATTAACAAGTCACTTATTAGTTTTGCAATGATGAGGAATCCAGACGATTTGTAAATAGTGTTGTAGTCTTAGCTTAATAATAGATAGAGTGGTGGATAGTGTATACAATTTGTATGAGGGAATTTTTAAATTTTTAGTTGTTAGTTAAATGCATTTATTCTTTCAATGGACAAAAGACAAACAAAATATTTTCCACAACACAGCACCAAGAAATCAAACTCTAACTTGATTTTCGGTCTTGTTTGTTTTTTGTAATGTGGGTTTACTTGTTCATTATGGTTGCCACAATTTTTAAATGTTATCTAATCTATACATAATATCTTAAATGAAAAATCTTGACCTTTCTGGCAGATATTCCATAACCACCTACAAACATGCGCAACATCGCACAGCATCCCGAGTGTGTAACGTTTGAGATACTGTAAATATGTACTGGTGCAATTTGAATAGTTCTAAGACTCCCGCCACAGTTCTTTGAGAGATACTCCTTCTACAGTTTCTCTGATTGAAAGTCTAGGATATTAAGATCTGCAATCGCTAAAACATTTACCTCTGTAGCTTCTTTTATCTTCTAATTTATTATATCTAAAATTAGTAACTATAATCTAAGAAAATGTTAAAATTTACTGGGAAAAAATGTTATTGTAGATAAATTAACTAACCCAATCACACTTTACACTGTTTTACCTTTAGTCCTCTTCAGTATCTAAAATATTCCTAAAATATTGAGAATTTCTGTGGTGTAATTTACATTTGCGACATTTCAGAAGAGTGGTACAAATGAATTTATTATTTGTGATCGAAGTAGTAATATTAATAATAATTTCATCACTTCGATATCCAGATGATAATGATGAAATTTTATTAATAACAGCAGCATTTTCCATAAATTCTCGTGCTGTATTGCCATTTTCTAATGCGCTGCGTATATGCTAAATGTAGCGACACTAAAAAAATCGTATCCAAACGTACAAAGCAGATAAACCAAGTTTTAGGTAATCTTCGTTTATTAGTAGCTTTTTGTGTCGAATTATTTTCTGCTAGGACTTCAATGTGTATCATTAAATGAATTGTATCCAAATATCATATGATACTTCAACATAATATCTTCCAATTTAGTACTAAAAGGAACAAAAATATTCATTATGGCATCTCTATTCACTTTTTCTTGTTTGGTTTAATTCCTTTGTTTCTTTGCAATATTGAAACTTGATGGATCGACGAAAACCTGCTGAGCCTTAAATTATGGCAGATTTTAACATCGGGCTTACTGATGTGAAGAAGACTGAGTTTAATTTAGTAAAGAATCTAATAGGAATAAAAAAAAGCAGTAGAGTTCGCATTAAATTCATTATTATATCTCTGCTTATAATCAAGAACCATTAAAACTCGACTTTCAGGATAATATCAATTTTGGTATGTTATTGTTTGTAAGAACCTCCTACTATGCTTCAAGTAGTTGGTGCCATGTATAATGCAACCGTTCTAAGTGAAACTTCTGCCTTATTTTCACTTACAACTATTTTTTCTTTGTTCGAAAACCTGATCATATGATGGAAACAAAATCCTGTTATTACTAATACTAACTTGTTCTTATGTAAAGCTTTTAAAAAGTCCTTTACTTTTTCAGGCTTTTATTTTATAACTTTGCATGAATAAAGTTTTTAGTTTTCATTTCTGTGGCTCATTTGAGCGGCATATGTTACCCGCAGAGGTATCCTTCACCAATCTAGGGCGGGTGATGTTAATTCATAAATGACCAACTCGTCCTCAGTCAGGTCACTATCAAGATGCCGTGGAGTAAAGTTAAATAACAATTTAAGTGTAGTCATCTTTGTTGTTGTATGGTGATATTTATTGCATTTTGTTTGCAGAGTGTCTTATTCCATTAAAATAATCATTAATGTTTTTATTACTTCTTTGATTTCGCGACGCCGTACTTTTTCATTAAGTTGGTAATAACAACAGGTGTGTGGCATTTGAGTCACAAGTTCATTTCTCACGAGCGGAGCGAGTACTTATTAAACTAGTGACTTAATAGTATATTATGCAACAGGTGCGGTAAACGGCATTAAACGGAGTTTATTTGACACGAGCGGAGTTTTTAATAAATGAGTGAGTTTACCGAACGTGTTGTATTCTATACTTTTTCAACAACTGTTACATTTTGAATTTGTACAAAACAACACGAATACATTCACTGACACGACCGTCAGAATTGATAAACGGTAAACTTCAAGCCGTGCGGTAATATCTCCGAAAACATTCGATTGCTCCAAACCCGTGTAATAATATTCCGTAAATATCCTAAGCCGCTCGGATCCGTAGAAAATAGGATATTATATAACAAGTGTGGTAAACGGCATTTGATTATCGAGTTTACTTGACACGAGCGGAACGATTGTTTAATAAACGAGGGACAAAAGGTTTACCGAACATTTTACAACACGAATACATTCACTGACATGACCGTCAGAATTGACTAATTTCAAAACGAAACTGACGTAGTAAAGTGGCGCTTCCAGCACGCTACATCGGTGTGTAATTAGGTATTTTACGGACGGAAGTAGAAAAAGTATATTCCTCAATAAAAGTTCAAAATGATCAAATGTTGTGATTGCTTATCTTCTTGCAAGCCACCAACCTTATGTCAGTCATCCTATAATATATGGGATTATTTAGTTATAGTTAAACTAATATCTTAGCGTTTACACATCTATTGACTTTAAAAAAAGGTGCCGCACATTATTACTACATTCCAATAATTACTAGGTCTTCACCAACATGCCATTAAAATGCAAAGTTTACTCTTTATGCTAAAATTCCCAATACAATAATAACACCATTATTGAGTATTTCACGTCTATGGTCAAACAAATGGTTTATGGCATTCAATTCCAGTTCTGAAATGTTGTCTTTTCTGATTGGACCACTTGGGCATTTTTGTGGTTCTTAGGTCTCAAAATGTTCTAATGAAAACAAAACTTTTATTATTGGTCAAAAATAAAACCATCACTCACTACTGATAACTTAAGAACATAAAAAACAATTTTAACTAACTAACCAACTTAAGATTATTTTTTAAACGATAACACTATTTCATTTGAATTTTTATTAAAATTTTAGTAGATTGGAAATTTCTCAATAATTACGGCTTTTCAGAGAGACACAGGCGGGCCATTAATATGCCACGAAACGCAAATTGGGATATTATCATGGAGTTTTGGATGTGACAATACCATAATCTCTAGTGTTTACACAAAAGTAGATAAGTATATGCAATTTATTGAAAAGTTATTGAAGAATTATAATAGCAAAAAATGTCATTCATATAATTTTATTGTATTGCTACATTTATATCCGATTTTTCAAAAATTCAAGTCTCTTTTGTAAAAAACCTATTGCTGTATCTCTTTATGGTGTACGAATTTTGCAAATAATTATTAGTTACTTCAAAATGGTTTAACGGATTTAAAAAAAAAACTTTTCCTCAGTCATCAACGTTTTTATAAATGTCGATATTGTCATTATTGCTCACAATTTGTGATGGTTTAAAAATTGGTTGGAGTGTATTGTGTGGTGGTGATGCGCGGAGCGCCCTCTATTGCCAATTGTCGGAGACGAAGTCGGCGAAGGAGCGGGAAGTGGCCAGTTCCTTTTTAGGGGACGAACTGTGTTGACGTGCGATTGATTGTTTTGTTCGATTTCGATCTGCTGTACCAGAGTCGGTACGACCGGTCCATGCAATTTGTACTTTTGTTTTTTACGTATAGTAATACCCTCCGTTAGTATAGTACAGTGTGTGTATTGTTTTCGACGCTTCTGAACCCGATGTGCTTCGGTAGAAACACATCCATCACAAATTGCCCTGGTTTTCTACACAATTAGAAGTAAGTGTTACACAGAAAATATACCCATTAATCGAGGGGAAAGGCAGAGGGATACAATTTCACCAAAATTATTTACTTGTGCCTTAAATAGCATACACTATCGGACAAAAGTAGAGCAACAAAAATATTTTTTTAGTATTTTTTAAATAAAAAAAAAATTGGTTCATATTTTTTCATACTTTCCTTGCACAGCAAGTAATTTTTCACAACATTTTGGGTGTACCTTAAGTTAGTTGGTGAAAGCTAAATAATAATTAATATAAAATTTGACGAAAATGAAGGCGACAAAAGTAAAGCAACAAATTGTATAACAGTGTTTTATTTTATTTTATTTCAAAAAGTTGTATTTAACAGTATTGTATTGTAGTCTATTTAAAAAAAACATTAAACACACATTATAGTACAATAATAATAATTAAAATTATGCGTTAATCATTTATAGAATATCCATTATTGAGAATTACCTACTGGCAACGGCGTGGCATTGACTCTATCAACTTTTGAGTGACATTTTCTGGAAGATTTGTCCAAACTTCATTAATTTTATCTATCAACGATTCTTTATTTGGAAACATTTGTGTACGAATGCGACGTTCTACTTCTTCCCAGAGATTTTCAATTGGGTTAAGGTCTGGCGACTGTGCCGGCCACTGCAAAACTTTAACATTATTTTCTGCAAACCACTGTTGAACGAGTTCTGAAGAGTGTTTTGGGTCATTGTCCTGTTGGAAAATAAAACGTAACGGCATTTCCCACTCTACATAAGGGAGCATAACATTTTGCATAATCTCCCTATAAACAAATCGATCCATTGTCTCATTAATGAAGTGTATAGGACCTACTCCATTCCATGAGAAACATCCGCATAAAAAACACTGCCTTTACCATGTTTAGTTGTAGGTGTTACGTACTTAGGGTTAAACCTTGTATTAATTGGTCGCCTCACACGTCGCATTCCATCAGAATTGAATATTTTATATCGCGTTTCATCGATGAATAGAACTTTTTTCCAGTCATCGATGGTCCAGTTTAAATTCCGGCGTGCAAAGGCCAACTGAACAACTTTGAAGCTACCAATCTTCTTTGCACAGTTCGTATACCAACCGTAATTTCTGGAATTTCGGCAATAATTCGAGGTACGGACTTCCAAGGATCTTGTTGAGCAATTCTTTTAATGCGCCTGTCAGTCAAAACCGTTGTTTTTTTTTGGGTCTTCCCGATTTCGGCAATTTTTCTAAGTGTCCTCTGTCATTATACGATGAAATTATTCTAGATACGCTGTACCGAGGTAATATAAACTGTCTTGAAATATCAGCTTGATTGGTACCTTCCATAAATGCATTTACTACTCTTTGCTTTAGGTCTTTTGAAGTTGGAATTCCTCTTGGCATAAGTAGTCCTGCGCACAAATGGTTAACTTAGCACAAAATAAACCCAACTCGAGTTATTTTTGCATTTACTTACATTAAAAGCGTCGTTTTGAATAAATTTTAGAAATGTTGCTCTATTTTTGACGCGTCGCTAATACGCATTTGAAAGTAAGGTCAAAATAAATTAATTTTGTTTTGTTTGTGATCATCAATAAATCATAGCCTACTTTAATGTCCTCAAATGTATTGTATTTGTATACAATACCTTGCATGTATAATCATAATGTTGGGACTTGTGTTAAATATATCTTATTTTTGAAGATGTTGCTCTACTTTTGTCTGATAGTGTACTTAAATCTTAAGTTTGGAAAGACCCGGAAATCTAAGTAAACCGAAAGTACCTAAATCACCTCAGGTTTGAAGATAATGTACTGTCAATAGCTTCAAAACGGGAAGACCTCTTAAAAATGCTGTTATGAGGCATCAAAAACAAAGGTTCTTAAAATGAATTTCACCAAACCTAGTAATGACTAGCACATACGATATGCCAGTTATAGATATAGAGGGAACAGTTATTAAATTTGTTCAGGAATACGAATATCTGGGTCAAGTTTTCTAAGCAAGCTAGGAAAACCTGACCATTGAAATAAATAGACGGATAAGAATCAGCTAAACCCACAAACTCACAACTAACAAAAAAAGCATTCAACTCCTCTGTTATTTCGGTCCTGACCTATTGTGCCCAAACGTGGAACTTTACAAAAAAAAATCTAGACAGAATAAGAAATATCAAACGATCTAGGGGAAAATAATATTATAGGAATTTCCCTCAAAGACCATAAAAATAAGAAATGGGTATTAAATCCAAAACAACCAAATGACAGACATACAGACAGACCGATATTTTATGTAAATCGTTATTAATATTATTACAGTCTTGGTCAATGTGGTTAATATTAAATGAATAGAATCTTACTAGTGATTTCTAGTCTAAGCAAATCGGCGGTGCAATATAAAAACCATATTGGAAGATTTAAGTTAGTATTATTATTTGCTTTTCGCAGTCCGACCCTGTGTTGCCCATTGCTCATTTATAGCATGTTTACTGCGAAGCTCTTCTTTATACAATGCAACTGGAAGAGGTACTTTTATTGCATTCAATAAGCCAAAACAATTTATCTATGAAAGCACTATACCAACATATTAATCGGCTCTGGATTCAAGCGCGAAGCGACCAACTTTGGGAGCAGTTTGCTTCACGGAAACTTAAGGTCTCTTATGTGGGATATCGAGCTCGTAGTTTAGAGGCTTCGGCCTCATCATATACGACCGGCGGGCCTATCCCTGTATTTATCAAATCATTGCGAACTTAAACCAATGTGCTCCCTAGCGGAGCAGTTTAATAAGCCATTTATGTTTAGTAAGCTTATATGTTAATTAATTAAAAATATTTATTAGGTTTTAGAATTCACTTTAGTCTATAGCTAGGTATGGCAGCATATAATCGAAGGAAACAAGCCTTATCAGATCATCTTTTGAAACTACACAAAACTTTTCAGGATATTAAAAAAACCATCTCGAATTCGGGGTTTAAAAACACGTCTTTCATAATTTTTTCATAAACATTTTTCTCAGTAAACACAAAATATAGAAGGTGGGTCAAGTTCCCTTTTTAAATGGAACACCATTATTTTAAATCTATTTTACGCATTAGTCAAGTGGAATACCTTATCTCTTACTTTTTGGGAGCCAACATGTTAGCGGATATAATATTAAATTTACATATTTCAATTATTGGTTTTAATTTCTATATAATCCGATATTTCAAATCATATAAATATTGTGATTTTTCTTTACGCACTTGTGGTTTTAAATATCCCAAGAGGAAAAATTCCAGTCTAGTAATATCTGAAAACCTTACAGGCCATTCTACCGATCCCATTTTACCAATGTACTGTGCAGGAAATACCCTATTTACTTTACACACACTTGTGGAGCGAATTGCAGTGGAGCACCACCCCGTTGAAAGGAAACTGCGAGAGTGGAAATTAAATCATTTGGAACGCATTGTAAATATAATACCCCAAAAGGGGATTTAAGTTGCATATTTCCTTTATAGTTTAGCAAAACTGCAGTTTGCAGTCGAGATCATGTTCGTTCAGCTCCTGTAATAATGTAATCCTGTAAGGATAATGCCTTTCTTCTTTTAATACAAGGAAAGCTTGATTGGTTAACATCATTATTTGAAGCTATTTCATAAGTAGGAGATTATTTCTAACTTCTAATAAAATATTTAATATTGTGTTTTCGTGAATTTTTGGACGATGACCTGGCCGTAGACAATCTTTTATGACCCACCAAAAATGCGCAAGGAAAATTATGCTATATGAGCATTTTTCTTGAAATGCAACCAGATTTATTAATGAATTTCTTCCATATTAGACATACTTTAAATATTAATTGATTGGTTAGTTTAGGAAATTAAACATTGTCCATAATATCTTGGAAATAACCTCCTCCAAAGAATGACGGTTAATGAATGGGGAGCGAAACCGCAAGCCCTCAGGACGACGGCTCAAGCCCTTTGCTTCTATAGTCAAAGTCACACTGAGAATACAATAGAGGGCCTCACACCAATAATAACTTCATCCACGTTTTATTGGAGATTGTCAGCACAGTTGTTGAGTAAAATGTTTAAATGCTTCTTCTATTAACAACCTTATTCTGTATTGAAATCGTTGTCGCTATACTTGATTCTATAACTCACATAGATACGATTATCAGCGTAAAACATCTATCCCGAATTTCGTAGCTATTTCCTCAATTTTCTTTTTGTCATACTTATTTCTGTAAGAGTAGTCAATTTCCAATTGCTCTGATTTCAAGTAGGAGTCGAGAAAATATTTTTTACGAGCTGTAACACTTCAGAATTGTTACTTTACTGGAATACGATCCGGTAGTTCCGCGCCTACATTTTAAATTCTAAGCGCCTTTTTTTCCTGCCTCACCGGCAAACACCTGATTTGTTCTGACGTCCGCGCTACCAGGCTAAGAAAGTCGTAATTTAATTCGCGTATATATTCTCTTTGAATAAATAATTCGTTCGCGAAATAGATTCGTATCGCTAGTATCATTGGACGTATGACCTTATGCACCAAGTTCCGTGATTTCTCTCCGTTCCGGCATCTCTCTCGAATATCTGAGAAAGTAATCTATTTATCTACCTCACTCCTGGCTCCGAGCGACATACGTGGTATGATATCGTTTTCCTGTTTCGGTAGAAGAACAGTGTGGTAGCTAGCCAAATAGTGATTAACCCACCGGCTTTTTCTTCAGCCATCGCTTTGCGGATATAGGGTTAAATTCACTTAGATGTGTGGTCAGCGATTTGGTGATTCCGTTGCTGTTCATATTTTTGGTTCGTTCGGAGAACTGCCCACACTTACTCTGTAAGAGGATTTGACTGCTACCTGGTGCCTACCAAGCTTTCACCCTCAAGAACATCCATCGAGGGTCCTTGGAACACCCGTACTCTCGTTGGAGCACCCGTATCTCCTTGAAGCCCTGTACTCGCCTTCGAGCACCTGTACCTCCTTTAGGAGGGCTCGCGTTTCGGAGGCTTCTGGATTGACGTATTCGGGGAGGATCCAAACATCGAAGTTCCTGTGTTCTCTGGATATTGGAGCACATTTGAATCATTGCTTGACTACCGGCTCACTTGATAGATCTGCGCGAGGTCAGACACCCCCTGTAGGCTGCACTGTTCGGGAAATAAACAAGGTGACGTCCAGTTCGATGTAAGCGCTACGCGAGATATTGTTAGGCATACCCTTTTTTTTGTTTTCTGTTTTTGTTACTCTCGGTAATTTAATCCATACCCTTTTTGCTATACCGACACGGAAATTCAATAATCATGTAGTTTTACTCTCGAAAATTTGTGTACAAAATTTATGTATAATTATATGCGGGAACTTGACGTATCGGTAATACTGAGTATGATCGTAGTCGAGTTTTTTTATGTTAATAATTACCTATATTGCCCCTGTAAGCCTGTGGTGATCACCTAAGGGAATTTGACCTTTTTTTTTTCCTTTGTGTATTTCTATTATTTCGGGAATTTCGTATTAAACGGGCTGTCAACTTGTTGCGGGGACGGCAATTGAATTTTGCGGAGTTTAGGTCGGTATGTCGCGGAGTTGTAGTTTCTCATTATCGACGCGTAATAAATAACGTAGATCAGTTTTCATCTGTCTCTTTTTTTGTCCCCTTAACCTTCACGACTATCTTTTATCGATTGTACCAATTTAACTTTAATGGTAGGTTTCATCGTTAATGTTCTCTTTTTTGTAAAACATCGGATTCCTCACACCATCTGAGAGACTGGAAGGTCTGCTACTTCCTGGCGCCCTAAGGATAGATAGTGCTATATTTTCTTTATTATTCGTGGACCCCCCCATCGCTCCAGAACTCTGAGCACTACGGGTAACTAATTTACAAGCACCCAGCGACCCAGTTTTGCAAGAAATTCAATCTTTTTTTTTTCATTTACTTACCCCTTTTATTTTTCTTTTTTTTTCCTTTTCTGAGCAGTTTTTCGCGTTGATTTTATATACGATTTAGATCAAGAGGTGCGTGGCAGAGCAACCAATACAATTTCGGCTTTTTTCCCCTACGTCAGGTTTAGGTAATTGTTGGGTAAGAAGAGAATTAGCAACTCCTCAAACTTATCATTATAATTGTTGTCGCTTTTCTATGCTACGAAACCCTTTTACATATCCTCCATGAAGCAGAACGAAATTTAAGCCTCTATTTGTAGGTAGGTAGGTTGTTAAACCCTTTTTTCTACTCCCGTCTGTAAAATACCTAATTACACACCGATCTAGCGTGCGGGAAGCGTCGCTTTACCACGTCAGTTTCGTTTCCCATGAATCCGAGCCACTTCGGACATTTCCGGGATTTTACCGCACGGATTTGGCAGCAATCGGATGTTTTCGGAGATCCCACGCTTTGAATTTTGAAGTTTGTCAATTCTGACAGTCATGTCAGTGAATGTATTCGTCTTGTTTTGCGAAAATGTACCCAAAAACTGACGGTCGTAGAAAAAGTATAGTATGCAACACGTTCGGTAAACTTTTTAACTCACTCGTTTATTAAACACTCGCTCCGCTCGTGTCAAATAAACTCGTCAGTCAAATGCCGTTTACCGCACTTGTTGCATAATATACTATTTTCTACTCCCTTTTCTGAAATGCCGCTTAAGTTTCGTTTTCCGATATTGCCCACGGCTTGAATTTTGACGTTTTTGTTGTGTTGTTTTGCAAAAATGTACTCAAAAACTAACGATCGTAGAAAAAGTAGAAACCGTTCAGGTTATTTTTCACAACCCTGTATAATAAATTGAGAGGTTAATGAGAACAACAGTTTTTGATCATTCTTTCGTGAGTTTGACATTCCTGGTTTTGATGTTAGCTCGCTGTCAGTAATGACGAATTTCTACTTAATTTTAATTTGTTATTTGTTACTTCGGTATCAATTAACATCACCTTATAATTTGACAAACAATTCCAGTTTGGAACAAACAGATAACAGGATATATGGAGGATTTAATTGTTCGACCAACGATTATCCTTTTATGGTGAGTTTATATGTGTTCAATATTGGAAAAATGTATTATCCCGCTGCGGTTGATATAGATTTTTGGCGTTGAACATCTTACTTAACTACTTAATATCTTAGGTTTGCATTATGGAATTATCTTCAAAGGGATCATACAGACGAAGATGTGGAGCAACTTTGATGAACGAACTGCTAGCACTTACGGCAGCACATTGCGTTTTTAGTGGTATGTACGTAGCAGCAGGTTTAAGTAGCCCGAAAACGATCTATGCTAAAGTAATACAAAGTTATATTCATCCAAGATTCAGTCGGGCCACCCTTGAGGCAGATATTGCGATACTAAGGGTGAGTGAAGAGTAGAGTAATGGAGAATTCCACGGAATTACGTTAAAATTTAAACCCATTAATTACATTAACATTACATTACATACATTAATACATTTGAAGTCTGATTTTTATGTTTCAAATCTGTTCGCTTGATTGTATATTTTTGGGTGCCCCTTTTCCGAAAAACGGCATGTTCTATCATCAATTTTCTTTATAGCAAAATATTATTTTATTAATATACTTACCTATGACATGAATATGTATGTAGCATTTAATGCCTGATTTTTAAATGATTTATTTTTTATGAAATTAAATGTGATTTGGTACTGGATAATATCAGATTTCTCTGCAAAGCAACAGAGTTGGCGTAGAAGCATCAATACAGCGTTGTAACCTGCTTATGTGCAGTTGGATTTATTGGGAGTCGTGCTAGTGTGTTCGCGGCTATTGTCGTTGTTGCGTATTTCTAGTATTCTATAACGTAGAAATATGGAAATAAGAGATTGTGTGAACAATCCAAACAACTTTTGTTATATCTGTAGTAGTGATGTCATCGACTAAGACAAGTCTTGGGCTCCTCACAATATTTTTTCCATTTTCGTTGAAGCATTAAGAAACTGGCAAAAAGAAGAAAAGGAAGATATGTTTTGCTTTGCTTTGGTGTTCCTATGTTATGGCGAGAGCCTAGGAATCACAGTAATGATTGTTATTTTTTTCGTGTAATGTTCAAGGATTCAATAGAACAAATAAGAAACAAATTGTGTATCCTAATCTTAACTCTGCTATTCGACCAGTTCCTCATGGACTAGATATACCACCACCTACCGTCCCAAAAGAACTAGAAAACGTCAAATCGTCAGAATTTGAGGAATCTTATTCCGATTTAGATGATTTCAGATTAAGGGAGCCTGAAGTGTACTAGAGCGAATTAAATAATTTAATTGAACTGAGGTGGCTTTGACTTGATGAAAATCCATTTATCAAAATAAATAAGAACTAAAAATTCATATTTTCACGAAATTATATCACATGACAATTGTTTCGATAACACCGTGTCTTTATCATTTGAAATATATAATTTCGTGAAAATCAACTTTTAGTTCTTATTTATTTTGATAAATAATTTAATTAGAGATTTGCACCTTACAATGGATGCATCCGAACTGTTAGCGTGCAGCCTTCGTGACAAGCATTTACTGACACCTGGCGTCACATCAAGCTTTTACCGGGATCGCGAAATAGAATTATGTCAATATTTTACTGAGGAAGGACGGCTAGTGTATTGCAACTATATTAATCACTTAGCTGGCGCCTGTTTATTGACTCAAGCCTCGGTTGTCGTTGCACAGTTGGTACATTCAAAAGAAACGTATGAAAATTTAGGACTTCTTTTGAAAAAAATAAACTAATTAAACCACCAAACATCAGTGGATCTTGTGGAGACCTTAAAGTGTTGTGCATGCATCTTAGGACAACATGGGAGTTATAAAAATTCCCATGCTTTATTTGTGAGTGGGATAGTAGGGCATGAGGTAGACATTATACTTAAATAGAATGGCCCTCAAGAACAAGTTTTACACCTGAGAGCAAAAATATATTAGTTGACCCCAAAAAACTTTTACACATTTACTGCTTCCTATTCAGGTAACATGAGTTTGACAGTGCCTTTCCTGTTTTAATACTTGATCTTTTCTGAAAATCGTGCAGCAGTCAGAAAAGAACAGGGAGAGAGGTTTCATCAGAACATTAAGGAAATGAAACAGAGATGTCATGGAGCATAAGGATGATGGCGGACTACTGCTGGATGTTAAAACGGGATATGTCCTTAAAAACAAAGTCGAATGTCCGTACAACGCAGCTTTCTTGCAAAAAGCCGAAGATTTCATTCAAAAAAGTTTGAGAAATGCTTATTTTTCTCACTCTTTTTTACTGAATAAAAGAGTAAATTATTTTAGAAATATCGTTTTTCTTTGCAAAACAACCTTACGTGATACAAATAAATGCATAACATTTTTGAAATCACCCTACCAAAATAATATACAATCAATTTTCTAAATAAAAACATCTGTCAAAATGTTTAATTTAATAGATTTGTATTATTATATTCTACTAATAGGGAACAAAAAAATTGTTAGCGTAATATGTAGTTACCATTACAAAATACAGAAATAAACGAAATCAATGTTTATTTAGGTACCTACATTTCAAACCAGTATTTTCAGAATTTGCTTTGGTATATTCTGCCATTATTCATTATCTCTAAGGAATATTAACTTTAAGTTATTTTTTATTCCATTTTAAAATAATGGTAAAAATCATTTTATTTAGAAATATCATATAATACTAATAATAGCACTAATATAAAAGGTATTGCATGAAATTGTGACATTATAGGCTTCAACTATCGCTCTCTACACCTTATTAACATAAAATATACAATAAAATATATTCCTCTTGAATAGAAACAAGGCTGATGGTACATGTAAACCGAGAGGTTTAGATTATGAATTTTATTTAAATAGACTTAATACAAAAAGTGTTGAACAACAGAAATGATCAGCAAAGAAAAAAAATTTTTTTTTCTGTTTGTCCGTTCTCCGTCATTTGGTTTTTCCTTAATAACTTTCGAACCATGGGAGCTACAAAATTGAAATTTGCCTCCTTTTTAACCCTCCATCACATACATAAACTTGTACGAAATGGCCTCGATTCGACGGCGGCATCCATCTTTTTTCCGCAATTTTCGGCTGTATTTTTTTGAACATTGCTATGAAACACGATAAGTGTCCGAAATTTGAAGCAATCGACTTCATATTTGGCACATATATGCAGTTTTGCCCTGTGGCGGAACCTGTTGAAAATGGGGGGGTGGCTGGGGGTCGGGAAGTATGTAAAAAAAAATAAAAATGGAGTGTGCAAGAGTCTACAAAAAACATCATTTTTCAAAAACCATTTCAACACCGAAAAGATTCTTGAACCAGAAGACGCTGAGGATACGGCTGCATAAACTTTTGACAATTTTTAAAAAATATGCAGGGTGCACCGCAAATTCAAAAAAAATGAACAATAAAAAAAATATATTGAAAATTGGAAAATTTTTGTATTTAGGGTTTTTAAGTATTGTACAGGGTGTTCGCGATATTCCGTGAAACATTAAATAACATAATACGTGCTCCAAATTAGCAGCTACCGACTTCAGACTTGGGAGAGACGTACAAGTCTAGACCCGCATTTAGACTTTTCAAATTGAGAGCAATAAAATAACGGGAAGTATTTTTTTTATTTTTTAGTATTTTTTTTGTGGTTATTTTGGCATCCATAAAAATATCTTTTCCTCCAAACCATTCATCCGATCTAAAAAAATTTACAATCGTAATACGTGGGGAGCTATAACTTTTGTTTTAAGCATTTTTTTCGATTATATACAAGGTGTTTTAGTTATGGACAAAAATCTAAAAGACCCCGAAAAGTGTTCTTTAAGAGGGTAAATTATTAACCGTAAATCAAAATTCGTACAAAAAATAGCTAATCCCTCCAAACAGTGTTATAGGCCGTATCAAAGTCTACAATTTTTTATTTACGGTTTTCATCTATCACGTACGCTGTTCGAGATATTTGAAAAAATCCAGGACTATAGCCTTTATTTCGAACATTGTTGGAATTGTATACAGGGTATGTCGTTTGTGGGCAAAAGATTCTAATAGATCCTAGAAATTTCCGCTTTTGTGGGTGAACTATTTGGCGATAAATGAACAGTATCGTAAACTCTGTCGAGAGAGAGTTTAAGGTTTCGTCTATAATTCAGGCGGGGCGAGATATTTGAAAAAATATAATTTTAAATTGCAATAACCAATACAAATGTTAATATTTACCAAAGTTTGCCGTCACTTTGAAGTTCGACGAGATATGAAAGACGCTTTATACAGGGTGTATTTACAATAAAATTACATCGATTTTGCAAATGTTCCATAGTGGTCCGCAGGAGCACGATAGAAAAACAATGCGTCCATCTAGAACAAGAATCCGGGAACCGCATTCGTTTTAAAATAAAAAACTGATTCGCGCTACTTGCGACGAACTTGCCCCGCCCACCGACGATGTTTCTAAAGCAATCTTGTTCTAATTGTAATAATTGTTCCAAAGTATTAGATATGTTTAATTGCAGACTGAATGGATTATGAAATATATGTTTGATGTCAGGGCCATGTTAGCTTTGTACCATCTCAATGTCGATTGCGAACGGTCTTAATTGTCTCAATTGATATATTAATGCTGGAAACTTTAGCTAATTGGGTTATTAAATATTATTTTTGTTTTGATAGATTGTTCTCTATTGAGAGATAAAGCTGTCTTTTTTACAAAACCGTAAAATTATATCAATCCGAGTCACTCAATCCAGAATTACAACACCTGACAAAAGCTCTTCTCGCTAGGAATTTCCATCCAGCTCTCTTATTTAGAGATGAGTAGAACTATCTCTACCCAAATTACACATCACCATAACCTCCAAAAGAAAATAAATATTAAAGCGACCCCATACTTGGCACAGTCGTCCTTTCTTAGATTCTAAATATTATCGACCAGGGTCTTAAGACATATAAAGTTAAAACCAAAGAAAATCTGCAATGAATTCAGAAATTTCTGTAGACAACATACTTTTAAGAATATATTTATGACAACCTTGGCTATTAGCAAAAGCCAAATTTAGCTAGACAAAGCTGAAGTTATTACTTAGAAGTAGAACTAGAAACTTATTTTTTATTCATACCCATGGTGCTGAATATAAATGTGAGTTTCGTAACTCTTAAAAACAGTAGAAACAAGCACCGAGTCAGTCACATGCAAATTCATCTGGTAAAGAAAATAACATCCATTATAAATTATGTTTATAATTTATTTACATATTTTCATTTATTTATAATTTATAATTACATTTATAATTTATAATTATGAACTATAAAAAAAAGCAACTTTAACTTTGCCTGTAACACTGGATGCTTTTACTATGCAAACAATTTTTACTATCGATTAAGTGCTGATTCTGTAATCATTCATTTTTTGATTTATTTTTCCCTGGCCGAGAATAGTTTTAAAAGTCGAGCTCACATGTGGAATATAGTTTTTGTTGTAGTTAGAAGACCCCATACGAAAATCGCAATACGTTGATTACGTCAAACTGCCATCTCGAAGTATACCAGGCGAAGTTCAACACTGCTATGGAGCATTACTTATGGGTTGGGGATTAGCGAAGCCCGACCTTTTATTCCCTATGGACTTACTGCAGTGCGTTTACTTACCCGTCATAACATGGGCTGAGTGCAGACATATGTATAGGTTTGTAAAAGACATCCATCGTTTTGCGGATAAAGTAATATGCACGCTTTCAGAGGAAGGAAAGGACTCTTGCAAGGTAAGTTATACCTAATTTATTATTTTGTTTCAAAGAAACTTCCACGGGCTACTTTAATACTATTCCTTCTGTTCCGATTGTTGATAAATCGAACACGATTATAAGTCTTGCTCCAAAAACTGTCGCTGCGTATGGTACGATTACAATAAACAATCTCTTGATTGTCCTTTTCGAAACATTTGTATTACTTATATATTTGATTATTTCAGGCATTTTTTAAATAATTTGGACGCATATTAATATATCGGATTTCTTGTAAATTCTTATTTAGTTGCACCTTGTTAGGTACTCTGCGGCCCTATAAGAACCTTTAAATACTGTCCCGTCCCAATGATGGTATTACTCAATGTTCCAACTCAGATATTTTCTGGATATGGTTTATGAAGTTCGGCCATTCAATCAGGATTATGTCTTGACCAAATTCAACAGTTTTGCCTATTACCTTGACCATTCAAGCAAAGAGTAGCTTCGTCGCGGAGTAAAATGTTGAAAATACGGACCTTGAGTTATATTTTCGGCTCTCAGGGTTATCCTTCAAAATTGGTCTTACTGATTTTGACATTTATATATAACTGGTTGATGCTTACTTCAAATTTTTCTTCTCGGTTTTGACCGTCCTGCACTGGGTAATTTTTTTACAGATCCTTTTTCTTGACAGCGTTGGCATGTTCTGTATACGATCCTTCACTATGGTTTCCATGGTAACAAAGCGAGCATTTGGCATACTTTGTTGCTTGACGAGCGGTAAACCAAATAAAACACTCGCTCTTCGAAAAAGCATAATTTTGAGCCTTCTTCTGGAAGCGCCAATTTGTAATTTTTGCTCGGGTCTACAAATATATTTTTTGTACCTAAGCGCTATTGCCCCAGAGGATTATAGCATACTCTATGACAGAGTCAAAGTTAGGACGATAAAAGAGTATTCATGTATCCTAAGGATCTTGCTCATATTTCTCCATTTAAAATAATTATTACAGATAATGACTACGTATTATAAAAGTTTAATTTTAACAGATCGGATAGAACCAGATCTAGGGATTTCTTTTGTTTAAACTTCCGAGCAGGCTACTTCTTGCATAGACCTTGATCTTGATTTGGGCGATCAGCTTAAACTTGAACTGTGTAAACGTTGATATTTTTCTTCCCTCTTTTATTTTAGCTGCATAAATAAATTGACTTAGCCCATGATGATATCAGAAAAGATGTAAAGTGTTACTTTCAAATTTATTGTTAAACAATACCATAATTTGACATGACACCAGTACTAAATTTGGAAACAAGTCCACAGCTTCTATATTTTTGTGCAGTGGGAAAAATCATATGTTTAGTATTAATTTATATCAATAATTAACAAATTAAATGGCATGGGACCACAGTGTGTTTCCTGGGGTAAACCTGATAAAATCACTTTCAAACTCCAACACATTCGACTTAGCTCCAAGTCGCTCATGGTTGACCCTGATGGAATGCAGTCCAAAATATATTATTCTCAAAAGAATTTAACGGAGACTATTGATAAGTAAGCAACTTTGTTGTAGTAAGTCGCAACAAAAGAAAGCCATGCTGTTGATCATTGATAACATGGTACTCTCCCATGCGACAGCAGATTTAAAGATCTGTCTAGGATCTCACGTATTAGCGAATTTATTCACCGATAGTGGAGCTGAAAGCGGTAATCCCTCGGGTAAGCCGCAGATACTATGTGATTTTCAATTTTCTAAACATGAAGTCTACATCCTACTCGTCATTCGCTTTAATCACTTGGTAATCGGCAAACAAGAGAATGGTAAAGCACTGCTGCTCCAGGATAATTCCTTCTCCAGTTATCGATGACTTCTTCGATATACATTTTAACCAAAGTATATGATAAACTGCATCCCCGTTTGGCCTCCTTTGCTGTAGAGAAAAATTCTGATTGGACATTTTCCAATCTCACCAAACTCTTTAGTTTTTATACATATTCCATAGAGCAATATAGGTTTTACTCAAACCAAACCTCTTCAATGTTTCGAGAAGTCTCTTTAAAGATACTGTCAAGTAGGCTTTCTCCAGATCGACCATGGGGCCAGTAGTGAGACTACGGGGCATTCGTGGTTGTAATATTTACTGTAACACACATATATTGTCAGTTCACCATCGACACCATCCAGTGAACGACTAAAATATGGAACTCATCTATTTAAAACTCAGATGCTGGATTTCAAGAAAAATTATCGCACATGCCCATTATAATTTGTTCTTGTACATTTTTCGCAGTAAATAGAAAATATGCAGAGTGGATCCGATCCAAAAGCATAGGTTGATATCAAGTTCCATTTTTAAAATGGAAAAATATTTTTTTTAATTTTATTTTCGAATTATGTGTCAAATTTCACGGACATGGTGCAAACGGCATACGGTATACGCTATCTTATCTTATCTCTTACATTTTATTAGCAAAAGAATAAAAAACTGAAATTAAATTTTGAAATGAACAGGCAAGTAGCTAGAACGATTAAGGTTCTTAAATTCTTACGCGCATCTAAATGATACCCGGAAAATTGAAATTTTAATTTCTGTTAGATACAGAGTCAAAATGAGAAGTTTGTAATTTGTTTATCGCAAAATGTTTAGAAAGACCCATTACGAGATCCGCAGTAAGTAAAATTGCGTGAAACTTTATTGAAATAGAGCATGTAAAAGATTGTCTACGGCCAGATCGTCCAAAAACAAATGAGAACACGAGTTTTAACATTTTATTAGAAGTTGAGGATAATCCCCAACTTGCATCTTCCGAAGTAGCTTCAAATAATGATGATAGCTAACTAACAACTTGGCTTAAATTACAAGGATATAATATCTGCAAAAAGCTACATTACCACAAGAGGTGAATAAAAATGATCCCAAATGCACTACCGTTTTATGAAATTGTGATGGTAATATGAAACTTATATCCATCCAGATACTGTTTAGTGATAAAGCCACATGCTGTTCTAATTGGTAATATAAATAAACAGAATTGTAGATATTGGAAAACAAATAATTCTCGGCGGATGAGAGAAAAAATATTAAAGAGATTTTGAAATAACAAAATTATTGGACCTTATTTCTTCGATCAAAATCTTTCTGGGGTCCGATATATACAATTTCCTTAAAATAACTTAATTGTCACTATCGCAGTTTGTTTCCCAAATCCAAATGAGCCTGATATGCCAGATAGACAGATTTGGCTTCAATAGGATAGTGCTTCGCACCAATTTGATCGACAAGTGTGCAAGATTTCCACTGGATTTTTTGCTCCGGGGATATTTAAAATGAAAAGTGTGTAAGGAAAAACCCACAATAATTCGATGATTTCAAATTTGTAATAGATATGAAGCGAGGCAAATTAATGAAAATATGCTGAGTAATGTTTTGAAAGTGTTTTTAAACGGACTAGCATATTGTCAACAATTGGTGGGCATCCTTAACACCTAGTAAAATAATGCTTTTGTTTTCTGTTTCTATAAAATTTTTCCCCATTTGACTTGTTGGATACTCGTTTTATCTCCAATGAGAATTAAAATTTTAATTGTCTGAGTTTCATTTACTTTCGCTTTCTTTACTGACAGAATTGTAATTGTAACAATTTAAGAATTTTACTAGTTCATTTGAAAATTACATTTCTATTGTTTATTCATAGAGATTCAGAGATTCAGAGATAGGTATAGGGTAAGGTACAAGAATAATGAGTTAAATTTTACAAAGATCCACCCTGTATATTTCTATTTACTGTAAAAAACACGCACTTTTCTTAAAATCCAATATCTGATTTTAAATAAATTTGATCCATATTTTTTCCGTTCGCTGTATAGAAAAAAAACTTCAGGGAAAGGATATCTATAATTATAAATCCGCATATAATTCTAGCCGATGTAATTTAAGAGTTAGATATCTTACCTTTCCTTGATATCTTACCTTCCTGACAGTTAAATACGGATGGCCCTTCTATAAAGTTTCACCCGTTCAAGAATATTAGATTAGTAGGTTGTGTGGTTGTGTTCTGCTGGAATATTTATCGGGTCCAACACACATATTTGGGGCACCACAGAACTTTCGAGGTGTTCCAAGGATAAAGAACAAGGACGACAAGTGATCTATGTTTGGTGGCTTAAAAACAGAATAATTTTAGCCAATTATTCAAACTAACAGCGGAATGATAGGAACTACTCACCAAACTAATACTAAACTTACCAAAAAGTACAGATTTGACTCCAATTGGTGCTTTTTTATGGGAACATCTTAAAGAAAATATCTAGGCAGAAAGAAATCGGGAATTTATTTTACTATCAATGCACTTTCTAAATCCTCAGTTTCTAATAAATGTTTGCTGATTATCAGAAATGTATTGAAAATAAAAATGTGCTGCTATTTTATGAAATTAACGCACAATTTCATGTTTTTGATTTTCATTATAATAATTTAACAGCAGTTGGTTTAATTATACAAAGATGAATTTGCAAATGTAAGCAATGTAATGCTTTTTGGCGGAACATCAAAATGTCACATTTTCGCACCGAATTGTTTTTCGCCATGGCTCTAGTGGATTGGCATTTACTTCTCAAAAACCTTTCAAAATAAATTTTAAAAACCCTATATTTTTCAAAACAAAAAAAATCTGTTTTTTTGAAGCAATATAATAATAATATTTAACAAACATAACTTGATACGAAAATACCATTTTCATCATCAATTTTCATTTTTGTTGGCTTTAATTTCGCAAAAGTTAATGAAAAACCATAAATAAAAATTATCTCCTCAAATAAAAAAGTTAAGATTGGATTCAAAATATGAGGAAACACCCAGTACATGAACATGGTTTCAGATGACTGTCTTTCATATATGTAAAACCTTAGTGTCCGTTAATATTATTGTATATGGATTCTCACACTTTCCATTGTGATCCTTCCTTACATTGAAAGCATTACTGACCACATATTAAGAGTTCTATCTTATTCTTACATATAATAACTTCTTACAGTTCCTTCTTTACCCAATATGTGCATGTCCGTCCTTTAGATCCAGCTCCCTCGAATATTGCATATGCAGGAACAGATTAGAATGCCAACCAGCTTCAGTTAAGCTCCGAGGAAGCCAACATGATGATTGGCGAAACGTCAGCAAGTTGGATTCATCCACAGTCGGCACAGGAGGAATTCAGAAGATTGTTAAATTGTGTTACAGTGGCTTGTGGAACTTTATTTTAAAATAATAATGATTTAATAGCAAGAAGACAAATTCTCTAATCCGTTTTATATTATTAACAACGATTTTTAGGGTGACTCCGGAGGTCCCTTGATGTGCGGCGAACAACAAATGGGAGTGATTTCGTGGGGATTTGATTGCGGTCATCCGAGATTACCCGGAATAGCAACTAGAATAGATCGTTATTTAAAATTCATCCACGATGTGCGCCGAATCGTTGGAAGAAGTTCCGCCGTTACGTTGCACAAGACTGGGTGCACGTTCTTAATGATTTTTTCAAAATTATTCCTTTATTTCGTATGCTTCGCAGGTCGTTAACATTAAAATGTACTAATGCAGTTGTTTAACCAGTCAACCTCTATTCAGACTTCTTAGGATTCCAGAAAACGGAGAGATATTTAAGTTCCATGAGTAGAGGTTGGTCACCATTTTTGTAGTCGCAGTATATTTTTAAACGACCTTTGGAAAAGATTAATTCATAGAAACATTAAAAGACTTGCTTGAGTTTTTCGTCTTTATTATCCAGAGGACATAGAATACAAATAAACGTCAGAAAAGAAAATATATCACAACTCACCAACATCAAAAATGTTCCTCGTCACCCATCGAACACAACCTTAAATCTGCTATTAAGATCTTTAAAAAATCGGTAGTCTCTCAGGACTTCCTAAGATTCACAATCAAGCTTCATCCCTTGGACCTTGTTAGTACCGTGGTTCTCCAACCTATTCTCCAGCATAATATCGAGTTTCTATATTAAGAACCCGAGGAGTAAACCGCAAGTGGACATGTGGTATAAATATGAAGGAATTCTCTGAAATTTCAGTGAAATTACGTAGAATTCCGTGGTATTTCAGTAGTTTTGCAAAGAATTTAAGGATCAAAATACATTTTGTGTTTCGAGATACATTAGTAAATTTGTTCTCTTTTTTTTTTTTCGTAAAACAGACACTTAAAATATGCTACTATGTACAGCTCAAGCGTGCAAAAAGTGTTACTTTAGGATATATAACATGTAAAATAACACCCTAAATCTGTCAGTTCCTCTTGAATTCGGACATGCCTTATTTGGTATTCCATAATTTCATTATTATTGGGATTTATAAATATTATTTTTTGTTCTTTGTTTTAATAATTATTTCAAATACGACAAAAATCATAAAGCACAATTTTTAGAAAATATTGATCAATTAAAGTGGTAAATTTTGTTGGTGCAAATAAATATTGAGTTAATCTACACGATTTAGTTTTTATCTAAGTCAACTTAAGAAGGTCGTATACAGAGTGCTAAGTAATGAATGATCCAAAAAGCAATCTTAGATAAAACTGTTGAAAATAATGGCATTGGGCCAAACGTGCGTTTTGAAAATGTGTCGTTCATTAGTGCGTCAGTTTTTGAAATATCGACATGAAAACTTGGATTCGGAACTTTGCCAAATGGTGAATAAGATTACATTTTAGAGTTTCAGATAATATATGGAAGGTTTTAGTTACACTTTGTGATATCGTCCCGCCCCTATACTTTACTTTATTATTTTAAATGCCCATATAGCATCCAACCACAATTTTCAGGGTTCAATTTTGCGCAAGGAGGATCAGTTGCATGTCACCACATTGAGTTGACGTGAATAGTAAGTAAAATTTTTTGTTTTAGTGTTATTCAGCAGGGCGGTATAGTGTTTAAGTCAAAACTTTTAACTTTTTTTATAAAATATTCATTATCTTCTTTTGCAAAAAAATTTGCATACAGTTACATCCATTTTTTCTTGAATATAAACGTTCGTTAGAGAAGCAAAATATTTTTAGTATATGTGCTCCTTCGAAAATAACTTGAAAGATCTTAAAGTTCATTTTTTATAAAAAGCTGCAATGTAATCCGAACCAGTGTATGCATGAAAAGCAGATAGTCTTAGGTATAGATCAAGTTCGAATTTTGATGGCAATACGGTACAATTGATGCAATTAAGATCATTGCTATTTCGATATATATAAGTCGCAAGCCGAAATTTAGAGTTTTTAATTTTATGCATGCTACCAAGTAAAATTATCAAAACATCTGTGTCTGCTGATTTTATTAAAATTATAAATCCTGATGCTGCTTTGTAAACTTGAAAAACCCTTCTCGTATCCGCCTCTTCATAAAAACATTTTTTTTAAAACAGTTACTTTTTTTGTAACAAGTGGACTGACAATCTTCAAACTGAGATGAATTTTGTGTTAACTCAACGTTAGCATATTTAAAACCTCTTAATCGTGAAAATGATGGCTTTAAAGAAGAATGTTTATAAGATTTTCAATTAAAATCAATTACCAAGTCCTTTATAAATGACGTGTTTAGAAACAGAATGGATTATTCAGAACACTGCTCTGTAGTAAATTAATTTATCCTTGTTTTTACTAAGCGTGATGTGCCGCACAGCTGTAGCATTGTCTCCTTTGCTACGAGGAATAAGTAGTTCTTCAATTTAATCCTTTAATTTAAATGTTTTGCATCTAGGACTAAATTTTGTGGGGCAACCATACACATACTACTATATTTATGATTAAATTACTTTTATTTTAAGACTTGTCCGGATTTGTTGGCGAAAGAGTGCAATTATTAACATCAACTTACATGTTTGACTGCAGCTACCAGGTAATAGGGACCAATAAAAGGTAAGCTACTGTGTATTGTGTATACTATGTACTTTTCACTGGAGTTTATTTCGTGATGGAGTTTATATCATGATCATTTCTAAGCAAAAAAAAATACTCTTTTTCGATAAAACATACCGTTTTCGAGAAATTTGTATTCCAATTTTTAATTTCAAGTGAATCGCTACACCAAAAAAGTTCAATAAGAATAAGTAGGTCATGGATTAGAAATGAACACATTCCCATTAACATTAGTGTTGACATTCATGAATCTAAATAAAAAAAACTTTGACCGTTACTTTAATACGTAATAAAAAGTAATTTCAAGTTGTTAATATACCATAAGCATAATGGTTAATGGCAAATGATAAAAATATGCTTTAGTAAAGTGTGACCAACCAAATTTAATTTTAAGAATACCGCTTTTTATTGCTTTTTATTGGATTCATTACAAACTACCATGTACAGTAATATTCGAATTTCACTATTTACACGCTATTTTGTAATTGTACTAAGTAAACATTAATTGAGTTCATTTATGTGCACATTCAATAATGACTACCATATCTTTGGTCCTTATTAGTTTAGCATATGGGTTTAAAAGCTTTAAATGGAACGTAATGCTGTTCTAAAAAACAAAGAACCTTAAATGATTTCAGAAGAATTCCCATGCAATTCAAAGGTACTCCATGAAATTACGTGAAATCCGTGAAATTCCAGGGGATACGTAAAAGAGGAATTACGGTGAGCTTAGAGTTTACCGCTCGCATAAACATTTTTTAATTCCGTTCACTTCGATTAACATATATAAACCATTAGATTAGATCCAAACATATAACCAACAGAGATATGGGGACAAAATAGAGAAGTTTCATTCAACAACTTGAGATTTCTAATCTAAACCTTGCGGTATTCAACAACCATCGTGGCCGCTGACAAATTGTCAGCTAGAGGGGAATATTTATGGCAGTGTTTTCTCAAAATATGTCCAGATGCTATTAAATCTTCAGGAAAAAAGAAGTTATGTGTTTACTTAAAAAGACAATGACCCAGAGTGGAGGTAAGTTATCACTATAATATTTAACAGTTTATTTTTATTCTTCAACTCTGAAATACATATAATTCTTGAGTTGTTCTTGGATTGAAGTTGTTCAGTAATGGCAAAATTCTTTCAATTTTGAAGTTTTATTCAACTTTTCGGTCAAACAATCAAGAATATGACATACATACAAATATTATAAGTTATATACTAGTAAAATTTTTAATGAATTAAGAAAGTCCAAGTTTGAAATAACTGACATTAATATTTTGACTCTGAAGTTTATGTTTATTACAATTTTTCAAGGATCTTCTTAACTGTGGGTTTACTTTCAACTCTATTATTATAAGAATGTGGATTTGATTTTTAATTTGGACTATCTATACCTACTACGTATCGAGTTTAACACCCAAAACGGTCAAACTTTGTTAGAATTCATCAATTCTTTTTACGAAAAATTCTAAATTTAATTTTGATTTTTTCAAAGAAACTTCCGCATGCTGTGGAACTATACCTCTCAAACCAAATATTCTAATATAGGACATTTTTACATTAAAATCGGTAAAATCCAACCCAGGGATAATAATCTTCAAAGCAGATAAGGGAAACGCCACTATTATTACGAATTCTACAAACCACCAGGAGAAAATACATGACATCCTCTCAGACATATCTTATCCATAAAGATACGATTTGTTCGGTAGAACGTAAAATTAAATCTGTCAATAAAGCTTCATCTCTTCCGGAATCAATAAAAAAGACAATCACTCCTCAAGACTCCAAAATTCCTCGACTCTTCGCTCTTCCCAAATTTCGCAAAACAAATCTACCTCTTCCGCTTATCATTAGCTCCGAAGGTTCACCAACGTATTCTTTAGCAAAATATCTAACCTTAATTAAAAAACCTTTCGCTAGAAAAAGATTCAATTTTGTGCTTAATTCTTTTCATCTTATTCAATATTATTATTAACATTGATTCAGAAGACTTTCTAGTCAGTTTTCACATTGAATCTCTCTCAAACATCTTAAAATCGCTGCCGACCTCATTTTAGTCCAAAAATGTTTATACATATAACATACAAAATTCACTCTGCGTAAAATTGAGAAAAAATTCATCCAGACAAGGTTGTCCAAAAAATAATGAGAACACTTGATTAAATATTTTATTAGAAGTCGAAGATAAAGCTGATGTTAGCCAATGAACGCTTTGCCTGTATTAAAAAGCAAGTATCATCCGTACACGATCACATTACTAGAGGGGCTGAACGGAGATGATCGCGACCGTAGACTACAGTTGAAATTATGATTACAGTATGCAACTTAAATTCATTTTTTACTGTTTACTGTTTAGTGATAAAGTCATGTCTTATTTAAATGGTAGGGTAAGTTGATAAATTTGTAGGTATTGGAGTACAAATATTCCCAGACGGATGAATGAAAATCATACACAACATCCACAAGAGATAAATGCTTGGGCAAGAATTTTTGAATAACAAAATTATCGGAACTCATTTCTTCGATCAAAATTTTACAGGGAATATTCAAGAATTCAAAAAATTTCTTCAAAATTGCTTAATTCCTACTCTCGCAATTTAATTTTGAAATCCAAATCAGCCTGATGGGCCAGATAGATAGATTTGGTATATTGATAGTATGTGTGTGAACAGTGGATTGGTAGAAGGGAATCAATATAATGACCTGCAGGATCACCAGATATTTCTCCAATTGTTTTTTTTTCTTTGGGAAATTTAAAATCAAAAGTGTACAAGGAAAAAACACAAAATTTAGATGATTTAAAATTTAGAATTAGATACGAA